CAAGACTCACCTGTTGTACAGCAGAGCCTCTAGATTGGGAGGGACACTCAGCTTCTCCCCTTAATTCCCTGCTGTCCTCCTTAGCTTTCAAAGGGTATCAAAGCTTTCAACACATCTTCCCAAGTAGAGAAAAATGCCAATTTTCCTCTAATCCCACAGTCATTGCTGCCCTAATCCCAGACTCTCAGCATGGCTGCATTGCCTGATATATTGCTGCAATATAGCAAACTCCAGGTAGTTACCCAAACAAGCCATGTGGTTAATGAAACCTACCCCCTCACTTATACATGTGACTCCCCCCTCTTGGAATGCCATTTCCACCCCCACAGGTCTAACCTCACTCCTCCTACTCACCCACATCTCAGAGAAGGCTGACCTCTAATCTCTCAGGAGCACCATGGTACCATGTGCTGATATGATATCCCTTTATTTTATCTACCATTGCATTTCACATACCACCACTTCCTGGCAAGTCCTTCTCACCTCCTAGGCTGAGAATTTTCACTTGTATCCCTAACCCCTGGGTCCAGAAAGAGAACTAAATGCTTATGACATGGATAAAGCCTGTGGGTAAGGCAGGCAAGCAGGCAGAGACAAGGCTATCCAAAGCAGTTCAAGACAAGCAGCCCTACTGATAACTTCCAGAACCACGAAAATACACTCCCTCCTTCAGTGACCCAGCAGCGCCTTTAGGAACTGAGGTCTTGTGGTGGGCAGCAGCATTCCTTGGTTTTCTAGACTTGCTCTAGCTAATCTCCAAGAGTTGACTGGGAAGAGTTCACCTCAATCAGCCATGGGAGAAAACCACCACTGCTAACGCTTATTCTCCAGATGGTGTGTGGCTCTTAGTGGCTGCAAAACTGACTGCCTAGGGGGCATCTAAACTACAGGGAGGATTCCAGTTCCAGCCTATACCACCAATCCAAGATGGAGCTACCAGCAGAGGGGCTCATGGCCCACTATTCAAAAGACTAGGCCAGGGCTTGGGAAACACCACTTTCCCTTAGCAGACCAGACAGACACTGGGCTCCAGGAGACCCTCAGAACCCTTAGTTGTGTACCTCTGCTAAACGCGAGCCCACCATGCCCTTTTGCAACTGCACTGACTTTGAACCACCATGGGACCGTAAGCCATCTCAACCCTCAAGGAGGAATAGCAGGGACTCCATTTTTTGAGGATCCTGCCCTCTTTCCCAGAAAAGGTACTTAGAAAATGCTAACCCTCAAATGCTTTTTTCAAGACTTTAGCCTGGCCACACGGCTCACCCTTCTCACCCAATAGCAGTGGGTCTGAGAGTCTGCTCAGTCCCAGCCTCTTCGGCAGTGTGAAGTCCCCAATGAAGTCAATCCTTTAGCAGAAATGGGGTTCTGGGTCCCCACCCAGCTTCACAGGAGACATGCTCTCCCTCAATTTCAGCCCACGGCAGGGGGCCAAGCAGAAACCCCCAACACTCCAGGAACCCTGTCACCCTCCCCAACTGTCAGGGGAGATTCTGAACAGTCAGGTAGTCAGGATGGGGGTAAGATCCCCAAAGCCAAGGGCCTGTTGGCATCAAGGTCCAAGGAGGGCAAGGCCTTCTGGGGCCCAAACAACCCCACCATAGTCAAGCCATTAGTGGACAGATGTCAGAGTTGTGTATTCTTCCTTCCCCTTGCCCCAAAAAGTGGGGATCCAGACCTAGAGGCTGGCTGTAGGCCTCTTAATTGCCGAGAGGGGGTGTCGGCGCTTAGCCCAGCCCAGCCCAGCCCAGCCGAGGGTCAGCGGCGCCATCCTGCACCAACCCCCCCAGCACAAGGGGAGGAGGCAACACCAGTCCACACCACAGGCTCTGCGGTTTCTCCCCCAGGCCAAGGGGAAGGGCGCCCAGGGTGGATAACCAGCCCTTGGTTTCCTGGGCGAGAACATGCAGGGAAGGCCAGGAAGGGTCTCTCAGCCCTGGAATGACGCAGCAGAGGCCAGAAGCCCTGGGAAGCCTGTCCCCTTCCACTCCAGTTCTCCTCTCTGCCAGCCTAGCTCATCGTCCCTATTCACTGATAGCTTTGAGGCTTTTATCCAGCACCCCACCCCGCGCACACATCCTCCTCATCATCCTTGAGCCACCCAGCTGCTGGTGGTTCCAAGGGAGCCGTCTCACACTCCCTCCCTTTCGCACATAGCCAGTGGACAAGATGTGGTCGCCCCTCCTGGCAGGATCCACCCAGGCCAGCTTTGGGGTCCTGGCTTGGCTGCCAGGACAACCCCGGAGAGAGGAGGAGGAACTGAGTGTCTTCAGTCATGTCCTTCCAAACTAATTAACTTGTAGGCTCACCTCCGCCAAAGCCCAGGTTCTGGGACTGTGAAGAAAGCCCGCCCACACCCATGACAACAGCTCGCGTGAACCGAGGTGCCGACCGGCCGGCCCCCAAGGTCACGGGGAGGGGGTCGGGGTGGAAAGGGCAGTGAGTGAGGGTGCCGCCTGCGGGTCGTGCTAGTCCCGCTCAGCTCTGTGCCGCCGAGACGCGGTACCGGCCACGCGGGAGGTGCACCTCGGAGGAGGGCGATGAGCGAGTCCGGGGTAGGGAGCGAGGGGCGCGCTAGTAGCAGGCGTGGAACTGACGCAGCGCCGCTCGCCCACCGCGGGACGCCCGGACGGCGGCCGGCGCACGGCCCGCCTCGAGCCGGAGAGGGCGGGGAGACAATGCCCGTCCGGCGGGACAGTCCAGGCCGCACGCCCCCGCCCACGGACACGGGCCGCTCCTCCCCGGGCCTCGGGCAGCGGCGGGAAGGCGCCGGGAGCGTTGGCCACCCTGGCCCAGCGCGGCGCCGCAGGCCCCGCTCACCCTCTCCCGCGCCCGCCTCGCGTGCGCTTCACCCTGCAAGTCCCGGGGCCACAGACCCACCTCCTCCTCCAGGGCGCCGCCGGAGCCCGCGCCGGAGCCGGTGCCGGTGCCGCCGCCGTGCTCGCTGTCCGGCTTCGGGTTGCTCATGGTGCGGGGGAGGGGGCGGCGGGAAGGAACGCTAGAGCGAGCGCCGCGCCGGCCCCGCGGGGAGTGGGAAGGCGCGCGGTGAGCGGTGCGCTCGCGGGTGCGGGGTGGGTGGGGAGGCCGGCGGGGCGGTGAGAGGGGCAGCCGTCGCGTCGGGCCAGGGTCACATCAAGTTTGGCGGGTGCGGGAGGTGGGGAGGGGGTGCGGAGGGGGAGGCAGTGAGAGCCGGAGAGGCCACCGCCTCCGCCTTTTCACTGCGACCGGCGAGTGCGCCCGCGGTGGCGGCGGCGGCGGCGGCGGCGGGGGGGGGGGCGCCGGGGGAGGGGGCGGGCGGCGGCGGGGGGCGGGGGCCGGAACCGGCCTCAGCTGGGGCCCGGCCAGCCCCCTCCCCCGCCTGCAGCGCGGTCTCCGGGGGAACGCACAGCCAATCCCCGGCGCCCACCGCGGGCTTGCCCTGGCCCGGGCCGCTGAGCAGCGGCCTCCGGCGGGGCCTTTCACCTCTCTCTCGCTTGGGTCAGCGCTCTCCCTCTCTCCTTTTCCTCGGCTCCCTTCTCCACCGCAAGTTTTTAAACTTTGATGAACTTGCGTAGAGAACTTTCTTAAAGGGGCCGCGCGCTGCGGGTTCCAGCCTGCAGGAAGTGGAGCCGGTGCCCGGCACCCCGCGCCCCGGTCCCTGGGCGGCCCCGCGCTTGGTGCGAAGTTTCCCGGCCATCGACCCCCCTCGTATCCTGATCTGGGGTTTTGAGGTGTCCGACACACTCATTCTGCCCCCAAACCCAGTCGCCCAGACCTCCTCCGCGCTATCCTCCACTCCCAACGCGGAGCCGGAGGCCGGGTTCTGGGGATGATGGCCGGGGGGAGTGGTTGGGAGACACCTGGGCTCTGGCCCTGGCTGAGCGCTGTTCTGCTGAGTGACCTTGAGAAAATCACTTCCCCTCTCTGGCCTCAGGCTCTCAGCCAAGAGGGTGGGACTTAGGATTTCAAACTCCCAACTCCCAGTCACTATCTAAATAGGATTTAGGGTGGGGAGTCGAGTGTTGGCGTCCTGCTAGTCATTAGCAAGGGGTGCCTCGAATGACCAAGAAGGTTCTGTTGCCCACCTTCCCCCCAACACACCTGGCTTTCGGGTCTTCTCGCTCCTCCCTCGACTTCAGTGCCCCTCACACCTTTCCCTACCTCCTATCCCCGAGGGCTGGGGACTGGAGTAGCAGTGGTGACTACCTCCTCCCTCCCCAACAGGTCACTAGGGCGCGGCCTCTGGGTCGGTTTTCCCCTGCTTTTGAAAACCACGGGGCCCTGGCCCTGCCGCCACACTAGAAACCCGCACCCACCTCGGGGCGCGCTGGAAGCGACCCAGCTGAATCCCGCAGAGCCGTGGGAGAACTGGGTCCCTCCTCGATGCCCCTTGTCCTGGACTTGGACTTCGTCTCCGGGGGTCCCTGCCAGGGGCGCCGTCGACCTTAGAAGCCACTGGCGAGAAGTGAGGGGAATCCTTCAGGACCCTGGCCTGGGTCGGGCCTCACTGAGTGTAATCTACCGCCCGGCGCTTAGTTTCTGTCCTGGCTTAACCCGCCAAGCTAAGTCTTAGCAGCTGGGTTTTAGTCTAGGGCAGGGGGTGGTGATCAAGCCTACAGAGAGATTGGACTGAGGCCTGTGGAGGTATCTGAGGATTACCAACGATGAATCTAAGTTCCTACAGGCGGCAGTTCCCCTTCCTGGGGCCTGAGCCAAGTGTTGGCAACGGGGCTGGTGGGAAACCAAGGTGCTCTTGGCATTGCCACCAGCAGAAAGTGCTCCCCGGCCTGTAGGTACTCAATAATTATTTATTAAAGGAATGAGTATGTCATTGGAAAGACATTACCCATCTCTCTCTCCCCCTCTCCCCCCCCCTTTCTCTCTCTCTCTCTCTCTCTCTCTCTCTCTCTCTCTTGATGGAGTCTTGCTCTCTCATCCAGGCTGGAGGGCAGTGGCGCGATCTCAGCTCACTGTAACCTCCCCTTCTCCCTTCAAGCGATTCCCCTGCCTCAACTACTGGAGTACTGGGATTAGGGATTACAGGCACGTGCCACCACACCTGGCTAATTTTTTTGTATTTTTAGTAGAGATGGAGTTTCACCCTGTTGACCAGGATGGTCTCCATCTCTTGACCTTGTGATCCTCCCACTTTGGCCTCCCAAAGTGCTGGAATTACAGGTGTGAGCTACCATACCCAGCCTGCATTTCTTCTTAAGTTCTTCATAATTTGTAATACTTGCTTAACCCTTATTTGATTGCCATTACTTATTTAACTTGTCTCTTGTTAGACATTTGTATTATTTCCAGTTTTTTTCTCTTTTGCCTTCTTAGGCAAACTTTATATGAGGATTCTTTTTTTCTTTTTTGAGACAGAGTTTCACTCTGTCACCCAGGCTTGAATGCAGTGCAGCCTCCATCTCCCGGGTTCAAGCAATTCTCGTTCCTTAGTCTCCTGAGTAGCCAGGATTACAGGAGCCTGCCATCACACTCAGCTAATTTTTGTATTTTTAGTAGGAAAAAGGTTTCACCATGTTGGCCAGGCTGGTCTCGAACTCCTGGCCTCAAATAATCTGCCCACCTCGGCCTCCCAAACTGCTGGGATTACAGGTGTGAGTTCAGGCTTTAGTATGAGGATTTTTTTTTTTCCCAGCTCCCTCCCTCCTATATGAGGATTCTTAATGCCTCAGAAAGCTTCCTGTATGTGTGACCAGCCCTTAAGCACCTTGGAGGCAACATAGGGGTCCGCAGACCCCTATGGCCCCTGAAATGGTAGAATCTCAAATCTTACATGGATTTGGAGTTCATACAAACACAAAGCTCCCACCCCGCCCACACCTTCATGAGTAGTCATAAGTACCCATTGGCGCTGACCGGGGAACTGATGTGAGGGAGGCTGGAAGGAGGAGTTTGGGGTGTACAATTCTTCCAGACACCTGAAGGGTAGGAACTTATATCTCTGTCTCCCCAGCTATGACCTAGTAGTGCAGCCTCTAGTAATCTCTTCAGTGCCCCATGCCTCCCCCAGTGCCACTTTCCATATCACCTCTGAGCTTCTCAGATTTCATTCCTTTTGTCTAGAATCCTCCCCTTCTCACTCTCCACTCCCAGCTTCCAGACCTTCAGCAGCACCCATTCTCCTTCCCCTGTGCTCTCAGAGTACCTTCTCTGTGTCCTGTTGAGCCTGGGAAAACCTTGTCTTGAAGTCTCTCCTACCAAATGGGAAGCTTTCTGACTCCAAGGAATGGCCATAACCCTGCTGAGTGAGTAGAACTCCTTCACTTTGACAGCCCCCTGGCCTCCAGCAAGGAGCAGATGATGGTGGGCATTTTCAGTAGTAGATGTCTGTTTGTTTATTTATTTATTTATTTATTGAGACGTGGTTTCACTCTTGTTGCCCAGGCTGGAGTGCAGTGGCACGATCTCAGTTCACTGTAACCTCCACCTCCCCAGTTCAAGTGATCCTCCTGCCTCAGCATCCCAAGTACCTGGGATTACAGTCATGTGCCACCATGCCCAGCTAATTTTGTATTTTTAGTAGAGAATGGGTTTCACCGTGTTGGTCAGGCTGGTCTTGAACACCCAACCTCAGGTGATCCCTCCACCTTGGCCTCCAAATTTCTGGGATTACAGGCTAGAGCCACCATGCCCGGCCAGTAGGAGGTGTTTAATTAGCCTTTGCTGAACCAGTACTGGGCTATTCCTGGGGCTTCTGGGCTATCTGAAGCCAGTGGCTCTTTCTCTTTGGTGTACTAAACATACATCATTCTTAAATATTTCATCCTTAGGGTAAGGAAAAGAGATGGCCTTACTCCTGGGAAACAGTATCCTGGAACTCAACTCCTGAGGGTACGCCTGACTATTTCAGGGCAGGCCCCCATTCTGACCCCTACTTTCCCACCACCAGGAAAGCCTAGGCAATAAGAAGGCAGGTAGAAGCTGGGCTTGGTGGTGTGTACCTGTAGTCCCTGCCATTTGGGAGACTGAGGTGGGAGGATTAATTGAGCCCAGACTCAAGTCTAGACAGGGCAACATAGCAAGATCCCCTCTTTATTGAAAAGAAAAAGAAGAAAGGCAGGTAGAAAGAATGACCTTGAGGCACAAAGGCTGAGATGTGTCTGAGGTATATTTTCTTTTCCTTTTTCTTTTTCTTTTTTGAGTCAGGGTCTTGACCTGTCACCCAGGCTGGAATGGAGTGGCGCAATCTAGGCTCACTGCAACCTTCGCCTCCAGGTTCAAGCGATCCTCCTACCTCAGCCTCCAAGTAGCTGGGATTACAGGAGCCCACTACCATGCCTGGCTAACCTTTTTTTTTCTTTTTTTTTTTTTTGAGATGGAGTCTTGCTTTGTCACCAGGCTGGAGCTCAGTGGCGCAATCTTGGCTCACTATAACCTCCGCCTCCCAGGTTCAAGCGATTCTTCCAACTCAGCCTCCCGAGTAGCTGGGACTATAGGCGCGTGCCACCATGCCCAGCTAATTTCTGTATTTTTAGTAAAGATGGAATTTCACCATGTTGGCCAGGATGGTCTCGATCTCTTGACCTCATGATCTGCCTGCCTTGGCCTCCCAAAGTGCTGGGATTACAGGCCTCAGCCACCACTCCCGGCCCTGGCTAACTATTTGGTATTTTTAGTAAGAGACAGGATTTCACCATGTTGGCCAGGCTGGTTTCGAATTCTTGACCTCAAGTGATCCGCCCACCTCAGCCTCCCAAAGTGCTAGGATTACAGACATGAGTTACCATGCCCAGCCATAATTTTTGTATTTTAGTAGAGACGGGGTTTTGCCACATTGCTCGGGCTGGGCTCAAACCCAACTTGGCCTCCCAAAGTGCTGGCATTACAGATGTGAGCCACCATGCCCAGCCATTTGAGGTATATTTTCTTGGTGCTTACAGATTTTGGTTTATTTATTTTGAGAGAGAATCTTGTTCTGTTGCCCAGGCTAGAATGCAATGGAGCAATCTCAGCTCACTGCAACCTCCATCTCCCAGATTCAATCAATTCTCCTGCCTCAATCTCCTGAGTAACTGGGATTACAGGTGTGCAGCACCACGTCTAATTAATTTTGGTATTTTTAGTAGAGACAGGGTTTCACCATGTTGGCCAGGCTGGTCTCAAACTCCTGACCTCAAGTGATTCACTTGCCTCAGCCTCTCAAAGTGCTGAGATTACTAGTGTGAGCCACCATGTCTTATAGGTTTAAGCTCCACTTGAAGGCCAGGTGCGGTGGTGGGCAGATCACCCCTGAG